ATGTTCTCCCTGTGCAGCATGGGTTCTCTCCGGGTTCTCTGGCTTCCTCCCACAAGGTCTGTGGGTCTGGCTTTACCTTAAGTCAGCTGGGATAGGCTCCAGCCCCCGGCGACTCTGGTGAGGATTAAGCGGTGTATAGATGATGGATGGATGGATGGATGGATGGATGCCCCCTGGCAGCCACAATCTTAACCACAGGTGAAATTCAACAGTCCTTCCAATCATCACAACAAGAGTATAGCCAGATACTGAAGGAGCTGCCCAGTGCTGTCAGAGTGGCCTACAGGTGGTGGGTTGTGTTTTCCAACAGGGATGATAGTTAAGCCAGCATCCTCCTGTCTCCCACTAACCTTCACTGGGTCAAGGACGACTGGTGATCAATTAAAATTAGAGGAAGTCTAATTAAGATAAGATAGAATGAGTCATAGTGCCACCAATTGGAGCTGCAGTGGCTATCCTCCTAAAATGATGCTGCAGATGTTGCACTGCTTTTACAATCTTAGCTCTGAAAAACAGGTGAATGTTTCAGATTTGGCACAGGGGTGATCAGTGGAATTAGGGGTTCATGTCGCTGCTCAGACAGTGTGAAGGGTGGTGCATCAGCCAACCTTAACATCAACCCTGTGGACAGCATCTAAAAAAACAAACCTTGCTCTGCCTTCAGCTAAAATTGCAAGAAAAAAAAATGTGCTAAATAATATAAAATGCAGCCTGATAAATATCAGAAGCATATTCTTTAGTCACTTGAGACCAAGATACAATTGCTCATCTCAGTTGGGGGGCAGCATATTTAGCATGAATCTAGTCAGGACTATCATTTTATTCTTTGGGTCTCTCTTGTTCTCTTTCCTTTTGCTAAATGTTGTTATCCTCATTAAGCACTGAATTCGTGTCAGCTTCATTAACCTTGTCCCATGAGGCAAACGGGATTAGGATCAAATCACACTCATCCTTTTTCAAGTGCTTTAAGGTCTGCAATTGCGAGAAGAAAAAAAAATACACTCAACAAAAAAAGAACAGAAAAGGGGGTTTCAGTGTTGATTGCAAGCTGCATTTAGATCCAATAAAAACTCGTCTTTCGCCACATTAAAGGGTCACGCCATCCAGATTAGTAAGAGACATTTTGGAATTACTCTAAATGACATCCAGCTATTTGTACAGTTGTCGCTTCATTTGCTCGTGCACATTTTCTGGGAGAAGTCTGAGCTGTGTTATGACAGTTTCCACACTCTGAACCTCATTTAGCCAATCAAAACATACAACTTCCTTAATGTGCTGTTAAAAATTGTGGCCTCATGGCAACAGGAGAGCTATTAAACACTCATTAACTTCAACATTTCAGTTCTTTTTACCCATCTGTTTAAGTGTCAACTATATCATCAACATTTCAACTTAAGTCAGCACTAATAATCTAGAGAATACTTTAATGCTTACAGGTCATGCATGAATACATTCAGATCGTACTCATCAACTGATAATTCTCTGCAGTAAACATAGATCCTTGCTTGTGTTCACTTTTTTTTTCACATATTCAGTGGCCAAGCAAATTCACAAAAAGACAACAGAGAGTGACTTTATGAGGCATGAGCTAGCCATTTATTGTTATTGAGGAAGTTAACATGGTTAACTGCATTGAAAGTCATACAATAAACCTCTTAAGCTTTGTGAGAGGTCCCTCCCTGTGTCACAGGGAGAAAGCTGTAGGAATATACATACAGTATATTTTATTGGCAAGTAGATATGTTTTAGTAAGTACATTCTCCTCTACCTGGTACTCATGTACAATATACATGTTAAAAAATATAGTTTGTTTGCATTGCGATCACCATTTTTCCTTTTTTGTTCAGGATGTTCAGGATGAAAGATTTCACATTTAAGTGTTACAGGTTCTTGAATGGCGGTGAAACTAAAGAGCACTGTTTGTTTTTTTTAATAGCTATCACATACACATAGGCATATGCATAGAAGGCACGTCTATGCATCTAAATTGCTTACATGATAAATGGAAAGCAGTTTTATCATCTGGGAAGGAAACAAAAAAAAAAAGTATCTGAGAACATATACGGCTGTCAGCAGCCGCACTCTCACAGCACATACACTCATCCCTGCACGCACACACACAACACAAGACGCAAAACACCACAAGCAAGCACTCCACGAAACATTTGACAGGTACAAAGTCATCCGCTCGACGATAAAACTGCATACAGTACACCACACTACAGAGGATCTCAGTCAGAGGATGGCGTTCACCTGGGAGAAGAAGTTTCAAAGAACACTTGCTGTGAAGCAGCCGGGTGTTAGCAGAGTCCTCCGGTGAGAGGAAGCAGCCCCCGAAAAACACTGATTTCATGATTTTTAATGTTACAGAAAGAAGCTGTTCAGTCCTGGATCAGTGGTTGTTGAGAACTGTCCCGCAAGGCAAAAGAGGAGAGCCGCTTCTTTCTTTTGTCTCAAACGAGAGATTCTGAGTCAGCAAGTTCAATCGCAAGACTGCAGTTTCTCAAGGCGTAGTGATGGCAAGTGAATGTGCAGAAGCTGGCGATTCTCAACAAAATACTTAGGCCACATGTTTGAAATGAATAAGTGAGTGAGTGACTTCCCTAAATATAAATATTGCAGCTGATTGTGAAAATGAAGGAACAGTTTGACAATTTGGAAAACGCCCCTTAATTTCTTGCTGCGACTAACCTGAGAAGATCAATCCCACTCTCATGTCTGTACTTTACATATAAAGCTGGAGATTAGCCTAGCTTAGCATAAGGCTAGTCTGACCCTGACCAAGAAACAGCTGAAGCACGCAGTTTGCCATAAAACTATTACTTTTAGCCATGCTAGCAGCACTGGCTGGTCAGTCTAACGTTTTGGTCCAGACTGAAATATCTCAACCACTATTGGATAGACTGCCATAAAAGCTGCTGTAGACATTTATGTTCCCCTGAGGATAAATTGTAATCACTCTGATGATCCTTTAAATTGTCGTTTAGAGCCATCATTTGGTAAAAATTCTGGTGTAAATACCTGCAAAACTAGTGACATCTCTGTCCGCCTCTTGTTTATACTGCATGTAGTGCTAACTAGCAAAGTCAGCATGTCTACGCAGACAGCAGCAGTAAGCACATATAAACGTCAACAATTCAGCGCCGTTACTGTGAGCATCCTGTTAATATCAGCTCAAGCCCCACTGTGCATAAGTACAATAAAGACTATTTCCATTGCAGAAACTGCTTTAAAGCTGTCTTAATACAGCCAAAACCTTTGTGCATGTTTTCATTACAAGAACTGTTCCAAAAGAACTTCTTTCATGGATAATTTCGGAGAGGGAAAAAAAAAAAGTACCCATTTCAGGGTAGGTACTCCTGAATGGCCCTGAAAATAGGAATAGAAGGAATGTTTTAATGTACTGATTAGCATCTTGTGCGTGTGATGAAGACAGGACATTTGATAAACGTTAAGTCTATGTGCTCCTCTAAAAGGTGAAACATTTCTGCAATTGCTATCTATAAGGATGAACCTGCCATTTCTTTTACTATTTTACCATTGGCCAGAGCCAGGCTAGCTGTTTCCCCCCTCCCCTATTTCTGGTCCTAGTGCTGAACTAGTCTGACTCCCCAGATGTAGATTTCAGGTATAAATCTTGTATTTCCACCACATATTTCACGAAGCACTGTCCTCCCCATCTGTGTGTTACCAGGTTCAAAATCCCCGATACAAAAGGAAACCACCACCTCCGAGCAGCATCCTACACGCTAAAAAAGTAAAGTATTGCTGAAGATCTGGATTGTGCAATAAGGCAGCCCTGCTTGGATCTTTCAGTCAATTAGCAACGCTCGCCTCCCTGCGTGCAAAACAAATTCCCTGTCATAATTTTCCAAGATGCCCAAGATGACTGTGATGAGTTTATAGAAATACAAACTAGAGAGAGAGTTTTTCTCCCTACTATAAGCAGAATGATGCAGTTAGACCATTCTCCAAAGCCAACACACTGCTGTGGAGAATGTTCTGGCAATGAGTGACTGATGCCAACCTAAGTTAATCAGCTGCTGGCTGCAGCTTCATAAATGTGGGTATTGTATCCATCTTCTCATCTCAGCCTTGGCAAGAAAGTGAATGAGCAAATTCCCCAAAAATGTCAAACTGCTCCTTTAAATTTGATTAACACTGACAGAAAGACAAGAAAATACTCCCCTATAAACCTGTGTGCATGTGTGTTGTGAATGTGTGTGTATAAACTACTAAATCCAGCTGGCTACAACACAACAATGACTAATCTACAGGTCAAAGCTAAGAGATGTGTGATTGCTTCTTTAAACAGTGACTCTTAAACTTAAGTACATGTGGTGCTCAAAATAGGCAATGGTACACAAAAGGCATTTGTCTTTAAAAAGAACAAGAAAGAATGAAAAAAAAAAAAAGTAATATGCACAAAAAAAAAGTAAAAAAGTTTTTTTTTTGGCAGCCGTACATCTGTGGCGATGCCTGCAACTGAGATACACAACAGACTCCCCTGAAATCTTAATACGTCAACAGACTTCGACATAGAAGTGCAGGCCCCCTGGATACTCCTCTCTGAACCCCCGGATGAGATTATTCATAAACCCATCAGGTGAATCAAGGCTTGACTGTTATGCTGCGAAATAAAAGTGCAGCATTAAGGACATTCGGCTTGAGCTCAGGAATGATTAACTAACAAACATTGTGAATCCTAATCAAAGCATATAAACCAATGTGAACTAGAAGACAAAAAGTTAAGAAATTAAGTTTCTCTTTGAGGTGGTTCTTCCACAAAAAAAAGAAAGTAGGTTTAGAAGTCAGTGGATTAGGAATTAATAGTAAATATGCGGTTACTTTTTTTAGAACACAGACAATAATTGTTGGAAGTTTCTCCTACTTTTGTCCGGAAATAAGGTCTCCTGCTGCTTTAAAGGCCGAATAACTTCTTAACTGGCTGCAAAATGTGGATAAAATCACTTGTGGGTTTGGCACAGGCCTTTTTCTGTCTACAAACAATCTACATCACTTTCCTTTGGTTAATAAAAAGAAAAGAAAAGAAAAAGAAATACATAGAAAAATGAGAGATGAGCAAAGGTTAGCTAGGTCGTTCTCCTTCTGAGGAGAGTGCTTGCCGTCGGCAGCCCTTGTTGGGGTGAGATTTACAAAGGCTAAACCCGAACTGTGGTTTAGTAGGGAATTTAGCATGTTAGGCTTTTCAAAGGCTCTTCTGACGATCACAGTGGTTTAGAATTCAACTAGAGGGAAAAATGTTCGTGTAGAATAAACGAGAACAGGAGGACGACCCCGGTGTGTGGTCTCCCTCGCATGTTTTTGTGTTTTGTGTGTTTTTTTTCCCCATTGTTCCATGTCATTACGGTCAAGTCTCAGGCGTCAAGGTGTGGCTGGCGAAAAACTGTCAGGTATCAAGATCCTGAAAAGGACAAATGTGTAGTTAGGAAAGTTGAAGGTGAAGGTGAAGACAGATGTTTACTCCTAGTATTAGCCTAATATTTTTACATATTGTATTCTTGCTTTCACATGCTTACAAACACTGGATGAAAAGCCAAGTCTGTATCAGAAATGCACAACACTGGAGAACCAACTGAGCTTTGAGAATTTAAGATTATATCAAAACGTGTAAATAATTTTGGCTCCGTTGCGTGACTATATCTGCTTTCATTCAGGAAACTAAAAGTTGCTGTAAATGTTAGTCAAACTGCATTTGAACAGTTATCATTCTCTTTAAAAGCCACAACTCATCACCTGACCAGACAAATCAAAGAGTTGAAGCTCCAGCACCAACCTTAAAGACAAATTAAACTGTGTAACTAGTGATTCATCAACAATACACTTGCCGACTTCCTGTTTGTCTGATGTACTACAGTGTGCATTTTGTCTTCTGTCTTGTTTGTTGTCTTAGTGGCACTTTGTCAACCTGTTTTAACCGTGGCCTGATGAAAAGTGGATTGAAGCTAAATCTGGTTCATTAGCTCAGATTTCTGTCTAACAATGTTCATACCAACTTACTAAGAAAGTGTAATTCATTCAAAACTTTGTCTATCTGCAAAAAAAATCTATTTTTCCTTTAGCTCTGTACCAAGGTGACATTTATGTACAGTTGTGACTCCATAATCCAACACTAAAACCTTCTTTTATGTCGGATCGCAAAGCTGTCGGATTGTCAAGACGGAAGTTGAGATATAAGGAGGGCTTGATGCTTGAAGGGTCATTTGTTGTTAATATTTATTGTTTATAGTTGTTATAATAACTGGTGTATTGTTAGGACACTACGCATTGCTGGATTTCACGACTAATTGACCGGTGCGATTGTGCACATTCAGGCAGTACTCGGCTGCTGATGGCAGTTTAGTTAGCGGTCACAGTTCTGTTTCCACCATCGGTGGCGGCGGCGCCGGGGGAGTGGTGGGTAAGATACGCTCCACCGTTACCACCCATGTTTACTTCTCTGTAAACACTGAGCACATTCACTGTGTGTGACGTCATTGTGTCCTCTTCTGCACATGCGGGACACTTTAGGGTCGTATGAAGTTCACACAGCAGATCACATACAAGTCGCATTTAAATGGAAATGTGAGCATTAAGTCCTGCAGTCTGAATGGAGCCGATCTGTCGGATTAAGTCAGATAATACACCGTTATCCTTATTAGTGACATAAAATGTCATGTCCGAGTCGGAATCCAAGGCTGTCGGTATGTTAAGGCTATTTTTTATGGGTTCCGTTTGTTTTTCCTAAAAACCTGTCGGATAGCAAGGTTTTAGATTTTAAGGGTCGGATTATGGAGTCACAGCTGTAACTACTTTCCGTCTCTACATTATTTGAATGAAAGTATACATGTGAGAATTGACAGTATATTATTGTTTCTTCTGTGTTCTGATTACTGTATTTACCTGGAACTGATAGAGCGCTGGCGTCAAAGGTGAGTCTCATCTGAAGCTTTTTTGCTGCTGCATCAGGCCCACGTTCTCATATACTCTGGAGCTGTCCTCCCTCATCCTGACGACAAACACATACTTGCGTGAGAAACTACTGACAATGCTTTCTCAAAATGATTTTAATTACAGTTAAACACACTGTATTCACTCTCAGCACCACTCACTCTGTGCAGGTGGGAGTTGGAATCGGAGTGCAAGGAGGCAAAGGGCTCTGCTCTCCTCCGGTCAGGTCGGACAAAGAGTACTTAATGTTGGTGTACTCGCGCCCTTTAATTTTACTTTTCTGCAGAGAAGAAAGCAGAGCCAGGTTACAGACAGGAACAGGATGAAACATGTAAAAGTGAGGCGTTGCGTGCTGCACACCTGCTCCTCCTCTATGCGCCTCTGCAATGTTTCTATGTAGTGCTGCACAGCCATATAGATGAATCTGTATTGCGCCTCGGTCTGCACCATCCCTGAGCGCTGAGACCGAACCATCTGGATGGTCTTTGGCACGTCGATGTCACAGTCCACCCCTGAAAAAGGAAAGCAACATTTTCAAGGATTCTGCAGCATTAGATTTAAGGCCTTTCATACCACACAGAACAACATTTGAAACCTTAAAAAAAAGTACATTCACAGTATGCCACTGTTGCCAGCGATTCCCAGATGTACATAGCCATAATTGCTTGTAATATAAATTCAGAAATTTGATCTGAAGCCAGACAAACAAACTAATTTAGGTGTTGTGGCTTTTTGCTAAAATTAATATTTGCCTATTTTAAAAGGCTTCATAGATCCTGTAGTTAGCTGTTTTTGGGGGGTTTCTTTTGCTTTTTTGGAGAAAATAGAGGACACAATAGTCTGCCTATATGGAGGATGAAAAGTGATTTAAGTATGTATAAGTAATATACAAATAAAAAAGGACATTTTTTTCTACATTTCTTTATTTCATGGCCTCTGTGTTAATTAGGTAAATGGTCCTAACCTCAGTCTAAATGTATGAAAATATTTACCTAAATTCAAGAGATCCATTTAGATAGATGTTTTTTTATTATCAAAGTTTCTCCCCTTCTGCCATCTGCCTGCTTTCAAAATCCCTTCTGCTACAAAAGGCAATAAAAACCTCTCGGGAGCAGGTTACATGCAGAAAATGATCATGAAGATGACAAAACCTCTGTCTTGCCAGTGGATCATAAATATGTTGGTTTAGGGAGAGTGGTTAGCTTGCTAGGAGCTTTGGCTAGCTGCCCTGTGTTGCACTAACGCACACCCTGATTTGCATATACTCACCTTTTTCTCGGATCACATCTATCAGGATGTCAATCACTATAAACGTTCCTGTCCGCCCGATCCCTGCACTGAAAAGCAAAGAAGAAAGTCTCTAAGTTAACTCCTCTGTTGTCAGTGTGAATGTCTGTTAGAGAGGATTTATGGATTGTTTATGAACTTTTTTCAGTGTGTGTGTGTGTGTGTGTACCTGCAGTGTACCGCTATAGGCCCAGCGTCCAGAATGCTCTCCTGTTTCAGGTTGACCTCCTCCAAGAAGTCGAGTACACCACCTGGGTCAGTGGGGACTCCGTGGTCCGGCCAGGCCCTGAAGTGGTACTGCCAAACTGTACGTTCTGTGTTCCCCTGATAACACATTTTATAATAGCAAACACTTCAATAAAATATATAATCACAACCTCTGTGCAGAAACATGAGGCCTTTATGCTTCTATTACAATCTAAAATGACATTTTTTGTTTAAGAAAGGTTTTCTACTTTTACCCTTTACTGCTCTTTCAATTACATTAATTAATAAATACAAACTATTCAAGGCATCAAGTATTCTAGTGTACCTTTAGCACCGTATTGTATATACACAACACCACAACTTACTTGGCCCACTTTGGACAGCTTCAGTTCTCTTAGGATGTAGTCGTGTGCAGCCGTCTCTCTGACATTGCGAACACGCATGGCTCCATACTCCTTCAGAGCCGACATGTCTGGCCAGTACTTCACACACTTGCTCTGTTGAAACACAATTACACTCACTTTGTCCAATGATGATTTGATTTACACAATAAAATGTGGTGTTGTACTGTTAATGTGTGAATAAAAATAGTAAAATAAATTGCAGCTTCCTGCCTGGAAATATATTAATGCAATGTCTACATATGTGCTGGTATACTGGTTTTGTTGTTATATACTAGAGTGAGACATACTGACGGCATTCCAACCCAATAACTTGTACAATCAGTAGCAGTTATATTGTGTTGAGCCACAAGAGGGCACCTTATACCCAGCTAGTGGTCAGGCTGGCTCAAACTACACTGCCCTTCAAAGGCAAAGTGCAGCAGCTACAAAAGCAGTAAAGCTGACAAAAAATTCTGAGATAAATTTTCAGATTTTGTTGTTAAATCTGTCAATACTGCACTCTGTGTTTTAATTCATCTTCTGCAGTATCTACCAACAAAACATACTCTTAGCTTTCGGATCAATTTTAACTAGTTTGTAAAAGAAAACTAACATAAATTTGATTAACAGGAAATAAAAGTTTTATTGTTTCACTCTCTGTCCCGGTATTATTAAAATATTACGATCATTTAAGAGCATATATGAATGGGTGTATAGGAATTCATTGCAGCAACTCAAAAGTTTTGCCTTCCTCTTTCAATCGAATGTTCCTCCTCCTTTGACACCCACAAGAAAAATCACAAGCTGTACATGTTTTCAGTGCCGTTTGATTGGTGTTAGTGGTCTTATGTATCATTTCAGCATTGTGTATGTATTTGATTATAGACTTTCAACTTACAAGTAGTTATCCTGTTTTGTTTTATGTATTAAATGTTAACAAACTTTTCTTGTACACATTTTTGTTGTTTCCTGTCCTATAATCGCATATAAAATAACATGCTATATAAAAAACACATTATTTGATTTGACAGGCTCTAAAAGACACAAACACTTATTGTTTTCTTAAAGTGTATTCGATATCAATTGTTTTGCAACCTGCAGAAAAATACATTTAGCTGTTGAGTTGGTTATATTTTAGATTTTAACATTTCGCTAAAAGAAAGTTGTATTTCCAAAAGGTCTCATGCATATATTGTTAATACCTTATAATAATCAGAAAATGAATATTTAATACTTGCTCATTGCTGGCAGTGCACCATTTCATGTCCAGTAATTCAATTTCATGGTCAATATTACTCAGTATTGTTTCTTATTTTCCTATTCTCGTCCTATTTTATCTGACTTACTACTACTTACTTTTTCTGCACAAGAATTTACTTGGTTAACTTCAGCAATTATTACAGTACAAAACTACTTTACAACATATCCTTAGACAACACAGTTGCTCTTGGATTTGCATGAAACAAATTCATTAATTAACCCAATAAATCAATACAGTTTGGTTCTACTCGTTTAGCTTACCTTCCCTCTCTCCACCTCCTTGGTGGTCATGACAATGACTCGAGAGTTTTCCTGAAAAACCATCCTCCAGAAATCACTGATTGTGTTCTGCAGACAGCCCTGAGTGGCAATGTAGCTCTTCTTCACCTTGGTACTGTTGCACTTTGAGTCCAGCTCCGGCTGCACACACAGACACGTTACACATGGTCAGCTCAGTGCCCAACACAACAAACCAGAGCACAAACTGACTGACCACACATGCTGGTCCACTGCACAATGAATGTCTACATACAAATTCATCTACATATTTGTGTGTGTGTGTGTGTGTGTGTGTGCGAGTATGTGTGTGTCCCCTGAGGATGAAGTGAGTTTACCATGACAGCAGATACTACCATGATGATATTGGCGTTGATGTAGTCAGAGCCTGGCTCATTTGGGTCCCCATCATTCAGCACCACACGTGTGTGGTCGACTAGAAACAGAAACAAAAACAGTACAGTTGGTTGCGTTTCAAAATCCTCTTCAAAAGATCCCTGAACCGTTAAAGTGAGATTCAAAGAGCTGCTGGGGATTCTCACAAGGAAGAATGTTCTTGTATCTGTTCTTGTTTTTGTTCTCTGGTCTCTGGCCCTCTTTGCGACTGTAGAGCAGCTTGCACTCTTGTTGTTGCAAGGTCTGAATGAAAAAAACACAAGGAGGAAAGGCACATTTCAACACATTTCACTGAGTTCTCTTGGTCACACGGATAAGGTCACAACCTTCCTGGAAAGTTTTTATGACCTATATCTCACAACTATACTTGCTCTGTGCTGCGTTCATGTTTCAGTAAAACCGTATCGGGGATTGTTTGGACCAAAGTGGCCTGAAACCCACCTGATGCCTGTACTACAAAGCAATTTTAACAAATCAAGGGTAACTTATCGTTATCTGGCTTCACTAAACCTGACAACAACAGTCACACAAAGCTGGTATGAAAGCAACACAGCTCCTGTAGGCAAAGCAGGAAGGGAAGCAGGCAATAAAAAGCATGGAAGGTAACAGGCTTATCTGTGTCACTGCCTGATTATCAAGACAAGAGTATTCCATGAAATCAATGTGCTGCATTGCTGTATTATTCCAGTGCAGCCTTTTTCCTTGAATTTTGCCCACCTCGAATGAGCAACTGAATCTGAACTTCATCTAAATAAAAACATACATCTTTTCCCTGACTCATCAGCTAAAATTTCTATGCATGTGTACATATGCGCGCACACACACACACACTTACATAAACACTCATTCATTGTTGTTCAAATGAACTGCACCAAAGTCATCTATCTGTTCACGTGAAGCCTTGTAGTCATTCAGAGAGAAGCGCCTGTTACGTCAATGTTTGTTTTACTCAGGCACAGCAGGATATGTACAGATAGTGGCACAATACTATAGCAAGTGTTACAGAAACATTACAGGTTCACAACTTTTATGTGAAAGTGGCTGAGGGACTTTTTTTAGACATGAGAACGTGGATGACTCGCATCACATTTACAGGATCTAATAAGCTGCATGTCTTTAGTGTGATAACCCTTTCTGTAGTGCCAGCCTGGTATCTGGACAGTTTGTTTACATACATAACAAGCTGCTCATTAACCTAAATTAAGACCTACATGCTGCAAATCTTAGTCCCATAAATATATTTATTAGCACCTTATAGGTTACATACTCTAAATGTAAACTGGAAGTTGAAATAGAACAGTTTTTTTATTTTAATATTAATATAAAATATTCATAGAGTCCAAGCTTCCTTGTATTTTAACTACAAAATGATTTATCATGTGTACAATTAAGACCACATATAAGCATTTAAAAACTCACCAAAACATCAAAACTTTAACAACACATGAGAATTTACTGAGCATTAAGCTGCCAAAATCTCAAGAGAAAAGTTGAGTCTCAAGTGTTTTGTTCATAAAAGTGACTAAAAAATGAAAGTACTGTAGCACATAAACACAACTACTTACCTCAAATTCTTCCCAGAAGCCCTGTTTGACCTTGTCTGTCGCCTCTGCTAGTTTGCTCAGCTCCCTAACTCGACTTTCAATCTCTGCTGCGTTAATACGAGTAGTGTTCAGGGGCTGCAGAGAAGAGAAGAGCAGGAGTCAGGACAGTCATTGTCAGTTTACGGTTGGATGCTTTGCAGACAAACAGAAGTGGGACAAACCTGTTTGAGCTGAAGCACGGTGCCCAGAGTTTCTACCATGGGGTTCTTTTTGTAGTGCTCTACCAAATCTGTGAGAGAGTCGAACTTCTCCCCTCCGCCCACGTCGTACTTCAGGTCATGCTGAGAAAGAAAATACAGACACATGAGCAGCTCGTCGCCACAGAGGGCTGTACTATGAAGGAAAATAACAGGCTACCACGCAGCCTAAATCCACAGTTTTCAATGCCACGAACATGGCTCTCTTTTAACCTGCTAGATCACCATGGCAACTGATGCTGCACAGCTAACCTGCTGTGGACAAGGTTCTGATGAGGGTTTGGATATAAAATCAGCTGTAAGAAGCATCAATCTTTGACCAATTAGCTTGCTAACGATTCTCCATAAGCAACAAAGATTCTTAGTGCTCGATCCGACTAATCCCACCACACCCATGAAGCCGTGTAGTGCAATTACAGTACTACACACTGTACGGGTTGCCTCACTATGAGAACCTACATGCATTCAGTTAAAAAATGCATATATATGTTGTTATGTTTAGTCCTGATTAACTGCTAAAATCATTTTACGCTGCTGGTCCTGCAGTTAATAGAACCCAGATTAGAAAACAGATCAGCCTATTATATTTATTACAAAGACTCGTCCATCAATAACATTAATTTCACCTTGATTTTGCCACAACTAAAGTTATATGCTTCATTATGGGTCAGACCTAGATGCACTTCTTCAATATCAAGTTTAAATGAATGAAGTTTAAAGTTCAGTATCTCTAATGTGTTGAACTGCAACTCTTCACCACATTTCAGCACCAATATTTCTTCAAAAACATTACAGTGACAGTTTTTCCTCTGAGTTTATTGAAGACCTGTAGGATCGGACAGCAACAGGATCCATGAGCATCTTCAAAGCAAAACAGTCACACGCATTTCTGCAATTAGCAACAGCAGCAACTATTAATTAGTTATAATTCTAAGTTATCTCAGATCCTGATCCATCCTGTCTTCATGTCTAACAGCAGGTTACACTATTCTTTAACTGTCCCTAACTGAGTAGCACTTAAATTATCATTACACATGCAGAGTATTCAGAGTTTAGAATCATAAATAAACTAACTTCTTTGTAATTTAGACCATTTGCTAAGCTGCTATTAGTGTAGATTTGGTCTTTTGTTTGTTATTGCATTACTATGTTATTATTATATATTATGTGGGGGTCATGTCTGAATGAAGTTGTGAGGAACATTAAAGGAAATGCTGACCTGTGTCTGAATGTTGTCATTTTAATGGACTGATAATGTCTGTGACGCATCTCATGATGGAAGAAGGCTGAAGTGCTACGCAGCCGTCAGTTATACATCTAAACTCTCCCTACTGTGACAATTTAAAATGTGTATTTGTCAAAACTGTGATGAAACCAAGGAGCTGCGGAGTGTGTTTACCTGGCAGCGGATCATGACATGAGTGACTTTGGGTTTGCTGTCGCTGCTGTCCGTCTTGTCATCCCCAGTGCGGACTGACAGGACAAAATCCCCCGGGTGGCTCTGGCTCTCTCTCACCAGGAAGCTGCCGTTCTTGCCTTTCTCCGTCAGCAGCTTTTCAGCCTCTCGGCCCGACAGATGTCCGTGGAACCATCTGCGAAAAGACACGCAACAGTATAATAATAAACTTTGCATCATCAAACATCTGCTTCTGACCTCATGTGGTAATCGGAATAAACTTGCACCTTTTTACTTTAATGACATCATCTGTTTGCATAAAGTAAGCACAGCTGATTAAAAATGAAAGAAACTGAATCAAAACCCTTTCATTAGAGTTTAAGTGTATTCGAAAATGTTCAGAATTTCGTGCAAAAGTAATACATTTCAGATGAGAGGCATAAATTGCCATAGTGTGGTGCATAAGAGCATCTGTGCCCAGATTTCTCAAAGTTCTGGAGTACATATAAAATCTGGCTTCAATCTTGCACTTCAGTGTTTGAGTAATAAACTCATTTGTACTTTATGTGACGACTGTTTTTAGGGAAATACAACGTCTAAGATCCTTCCAAGGACACATCTCCTGTGAGTGTCAGCATCTTGGTCAATTATTAAACATCTCTTTTACTTTCTCTTTCAGGAGGCAGCAGTGGAGCAGTTAAAGCAATCATTGTGGGGGTGGGAAAAAAAAGGAAATAGATAGTAATTCAGATAGGCCAAACAAGCTGTGTGGACACATTATATTGGCCTCTTACAGACACTTTATTAAGACTTACTTAAAACGATTAATTCAGAAAATAATTAATTCTTTAAGCATTTCTAAAAAATAATCATTAGTTGCAGTAGTAGAAGGAGTAAATGCACCAACATGTTTCAAGCCGCCAGTCTAAATTATACGCTGAAGTGAATTGTGTAAAATTTTTATTTTCATTTCACTTTTCATTTTAAATTTGAGAAAGATGTGATACAGTTTAGAACACATTGTTTTATAATAGCGGTGAGCCATCTCCTCGAGCCTTTTTAAATGAATACTAATAAAAAAACAACATTAACCCTCAGGGAAAGAAACAGCTGAGGCTGGACTTCAGAGATATTTAGCGCATTCAATCTATAATTCACAAACTAAACTGACCATCAAACAAGATGTGTTTGATTTATGAGCTTAGCAAAAGCACTTCCTGAAGGGAATCCTGCAACAACACAATAAACCAAATAAACAATTGCCAGAGATTGACGTCTGCCTAATTTCCAGGGATTCCCACAGGAAATTTGTTAGTGGTGGTGGTCTGACGCTGTGATGTCAGCTGGTGATTATCAAATTCATTTCAGACTGGTGCTCATCCTTTCTTTTTCCCCAACACCACAATGTCCCACTGAGTAATTCCTGCAACGTGAATACTAGATCTGATGAATCATCTGCTGATTGACGTGTCTCACTTCACAATCAATAATGGTTCAAACAATTGCGTCACTCATTAAGTACGTGGCTTTTCTATATGACTTCTAAAGGTCTGTCAGCAGAGGCCCTCTTTATTTCAGGTGAGCCTGAGCACATATACTCACATTTCATTTGTAAAGGGCAAAAATATTTTTTTAAATAACCAGTATCTACAGGTGAAACTAGGATGTTTTATTCAGAAAAACTACACTGTGGATGAATGTAATGAGAATTTTTTTTTTTTTACCAGAGGATCAAAAAGCACTACATAGTCAGTTTCTCTTTTTAGAGCAAGAAAAATCCCATTTCTTGTTCGTGATATGTCATATTTAGGTAAGAAACTAAAATCAAATCAGTTTGAATTGTGCTCAGCATATTTTTCTGATAGAAACTTGTGTTTAGCTAAGAAACAAAAACAACAATGCAAATTTACAAAACGTGTCGAGAAAATCGCGACATTCAGCCTTTTGAACCGACGAGTACTGAACCTGTGATAAACAAATTAAAAAGCACATATAAAGAAAATACTGTCTGAATCTCACGTTCTGGCACAAAACATACTATCTGTGTGAGCACTCACCTCTCTGAGGTGGGGTCTGCACAGTTTAGTGGATACTTGAGCTCGATGACGTCTCCGTTTTTCTCTTTGAGTTGCCCATGATGCTCCATGTAATACTGCACCAGCTCTGCCAGAGTTGCAAACTTCTCCCCACCGTAAAGGTCATAGAAGTCTCCTGTGTTCTGGATCTTAATATGGGTGACGGCTCCATTTCGCCTGCATGAAAGCAAAGTCGTTTAGTAAAAGGCTGCAATTATCATCATCATCATCATTATTATCAGGACACAGAATCAACAAAAAGTTCTGTTGTCTATAAGACTGGACTGCTGTGTAAACTGCACATCAGCAGTAAACGTAGCCCTTTTAATACAATAAATTAGATCAATTGAAATAAACTTTTTTTTTTAAATTGGCCTTGTATTTAATGTTTTAAAATTACCTCCAATTCAACCAATGCCACCAAGTCACAGTGAGTCCAC